GTGAACCATATCAATGCTCATGCCACACCCCAGAGAATCTAACTTAATTGGTCTGCAGTGGGGTTCAGGCATTGCATTTTTGAAAAATCTCCCCAGGTAATTCTGATGTGCAGATACAGTTGAGAATGACCCATCTAGAAGAGTATCTTATAAGGACGGCCAAGAAAATACTGGATTCTTGAAAAAGAATGAAGAGCAACTACCTCCATCATGTACTGAAGTTCATTATATAGGTAGTACAGTAAGTTTCTGGCACAGGATAAGCAAAGATCAGTGAAACAAACAAACAGTCCAGAATTAGACCCAAACCTTGTATATGTGAAAACTGAGTAAAATCTAACCAAAATGGTATGTTACATTAGTGGGGAAAAAAGCTGGATCAGCAGTCTAAATAAATGGCACTGGGATGACGACTACCATTTGGAAAAAAATATACAGCTAGATCTCTGTATCTCACTCTGGCCAAAATCAATTCTGAGCTAAATATCCAAGATATAAGGAGAAAAAAATACAGAAAAATAATTCATAATTTTGGAATACAGAAAGCATTCCTAAACATAACACAAAACCCAAAAGCCGTAAAAGAAAAAATGGATAAATCTGTTTCTATAAAAACTGAAAACATCCACTTGGTAAAAACACAGAACTATGAAACTGTAAACCCAAGTAGCCATACTCCTGGTAAAACAGACTTCAGCAAATAAAAAAAAGAGGGAAAAAGCTTACATTTAATAAAGGTTTTAACTTTCAACATAAAAAATATTCAAAACAAGAAAAAAAGGAAACGCAACAGAAAAACTAGCAGAGGACACGAATAGTACAATATAAATGCCCATGAATTCATGAAAAGACATTTTTGCCTAAGAGAATGGCAAATCAGCAAAAGTATGCTATCAGTGTTGGTAAGAATCAGGGGGTGGGGGGGTGGGGAGTGACAGGGAGTCATTCGCTTTTGGTGAGGGTATAATGCACAATGTTTATGGAGAGTATTTGACAACAGCTACGCTTATCAAAAATGTCAGTAGCCTTTAATCCAGAAGTTTCACTACCAAGATTTTTTTTTGGGGGGGGGTGAGTTTTATTAAGCAAGGACACATAAAAAGCTCTCCAGAGTCAGAGGGGTCATGACAGGGTTACCCCACTACCAAGAATTTATCTAGCAGATACACTCAGCTGTAGAAAGATGTATTATCAAAATTGTTACATCAGCAAAACACTGGAAACAACCTAAATGTACAGCCATTACGGCACTAGTCATATAAATTACGATATACCCAAATTGGGGACTACTACCATATCAAACCCAGTAAGAAGGACTGAGCTCTACCTAACATAGAACTTCCAACTTACATTAAAGTGGCAAGAAGGAGGTATATGTATACCAACATACATATAGGGAGGGGCAGAGAGAGAGATGTTATACTATACTACTCTTTATGTTTAGGGAAGATACACGTACACACACTCACCTCTCTATGCAGAGATCATCCCCAACAGGATAGGTAAGAAATAGTTGTCTTTGGTGAGAATTTGGGAGAGCCAAAGGTCAAGAGTTAAGGGAGATTAACTTTTCAGTTCTTACTCGTGGTGCCTTTTTTCTTTTTCTTTTCTTTTTTTTTTGTGGTTTGTTGTTAAACCATGTACAGGATTACTTTCTAGAAACAAAACTTTTAACAACGGCTTTGACCTAATAACCTCACAGAATCTATCCCATGATGCATGTGGATATGCCTATACAAAAAAATACATTCATTGCAGCTGTACTAATGAAAAATCAAAAGCAATCCAAATGTTCATCATTAGAGGAGATCAATCAATTATGGTGCATCCTTTAATGGAATACTTTGCCATCTACTTGATGAAAACAAGGGAAATCTGTGTGCACTGCTAAGGAAAGGCAAGTAGTGTATACACCGTTACATAAAAGAGCAAGGTGCTAATGTATTTTGGTTCCATTTCTTATGAACATATTTGTACAGAGTGGTTATCTGGGGGCGCCTGGGCAGCTCAGTCAGTTAAGTATCTGACTCTTGATCTCAGCTCAATCAGGTCTTAATCTCAGGGTCTTGAGTTCAAGTCCTGTGATGGGCTCCACACTGGGCAATGAGCCTACTTAAAAAAACAGAACAGAACAAAAACAAAAAATAAACGAGGGAAAAAAAAATAAGTGGTCATCTGTAAGAAATGAGGCTGCTCTTTTTTATTATTTGAATTATTTTATAGGCAATCTGCATTTCCTTTGTGATGATAATTTTTAAAACAAAATTATCTTTTAAAAAAAAGTTTCTTTTCCCCCCTGTGCATCTTAAAATCTTATCTGGCTTAAAATGAACTTGTCTCTTGCTCTTACTATTTGCCCATCACTATTAGTTCTTTTGTCCCACCCAAAAGCCACAACAACCCTTCCAAAAAACACCAGTCCCTGTCCTTCCTTTACCATCAGCCTCTTTGGGGTACCTACGGGGAGCAGAGATGACTGTCCCCACAACAGTGAGCACTCGCCAAGTGTTGTCTGAAAGAGAGATCACTCTGTACAAAGGAATGAAACCCCTGGGCAGCCAGAGGAGCATGAAATGAGAGACACACCAACAGAGCCCAGACTGCAGGAAACCTGCCAGAACCAATAAACAAAACAAACAAAACAACCAGATTCTTCAACAAATGAATTGTAAGGATCCTAGAGACTAACAGATTCTTAAAAGCCATATCCACTGAATATAGTTATTCCGATTTGGAGAGGGGGAAAAACCCCCATAAAAACAGATTGGGACACATGAGGCCACTGGAAATTTGAGTTATCTAGTAGACCTTGATGACAAGAAATCATTTATTTACATGTGAGAATGGCACTGGGTTTAGGTCTACCCTGTCTAACTTTTAGGAATACACATTATCAATGGCTCACTAAGTATGGTCAAGGAGCCCGGATACCTTCGGGGCAGGGAGGCGGTCATGATGTCAAAACTATTTTCATAAAATACTAAGACACTCTCATTCTCTCACAAAAACACAGAGGCACTTTCCAGAAGCTCTGGGACCTGTGGGATCACCGTGCTTAATGGCTAATAGAATGTGTGCTTGGTTTTCAAAATTCTGTTTCAGTATTTAATGTGGCAAATATTGATAGATATAATCCACATGTTAAAGAAATTTCCTTGGGGCCCTCAACAGTTGGGCCTAACAATCCTAAGACCAAAAAGTTTGAGAACCCTTGCATTAAACTACTATGTTTACTTTTGCACAGGACTGAAATTCTCCAAAATAAGAAGTTTTTTTGTAAGGGGGTAGCATGGATTGATGAGTGAATTGGGAAAGAGCAAACATCAGGCTGACCATGAGCCCTAAACCCACAGTAATCTCTTCTCAACCTACCTCCGGAAGGCATGTGCATACACAGACCCCTCTGCAAACACCAGGGACAACTAAAATTTAAGTTCACATTCCCTCCCCTTTAACAACACTTCAAAAGAGATAAATGCCAATTTTAATGTTGGAATTACAGTTGACTGCTGAACAATGTGGGTGTTTGAAGCCCTGACCCCTGCCCAGTGGAAAATCGGCATAAAAATTGTGACTTCCTAAAAAAATTTAGTAACGAATAGCCTACTACTGCCCGGAAGCCTTACCAAAACATAAACAGTTGATTAGCACATTTTTTGTATATGTATTATATACTGTTTTCTTACAATAAAGATAGAGAAAAGAAAACCTTAAGAAAATCATAAGGAAAACACATTTACAGTACTGTACTTATCAAAAAACAAAAAAATCCACCCCATGTATAAGGAGACTCGTGTAGTTCAAACCTGTGTTGTTCAAGATTCAACTGTACTTCATTTTTATTTAAGTTAAAAAAAAAAGAAATTGTCTCCTTACCTAAGACCGTCCCCCAGGCTTCATCTGCATCCCCTAGTGCCCGCGCCAGCCTTGTGGGGAAACTGCTACTCTTACTTGTCCTTTTCCTTCATTTGGACTAATCAAATTCAAGAAATAGCACAAACTGTTCTACTGTTCTAGAACTTGCTGTTGTAAATACTGCCTGCAACAGGTGCTCCGGTGGCTGCCACCAAGGAGCCTTGTCTCAGAGCTGCCATGGTGTCTGCTCCCTCTCTGGGAATTTGCCTGCACGCCGCTTGTCAGCTTCCAGCTTTCCAGTTGTCCCCATCTACCGTGGCATCTGCCTTCCCTGTCCTCCACGTTCATCTCCTACTCTACACGCCAGCTGCAGGACTGGTGGCTGAAACCCAAAACAGTGCTCTCAACATGCACAGACCTCAAAGCCACCTAGAGGCTTCGAAGGGCCCCCCAGGTTCTGAAGGGCCCCCCAGGTTCGAAGGGCCCCCCAGTAGCTCTGCACTTCTAACAAGCCCCTGGTGCTGTGCTGCCGGCCCACGGACCTCACTCTGGGAACCACTGCTGCGGAGGTCCTTCTGTGACCCGAGGGCCTGCACTGCCCCTGGCTCTGCCACCTCACCCGCTGTGAACCATGGCAGCTTGCGGACCAGCTTCTTGGTAAAACGGAGACTGTGGCGAAAGACACTTCACCAGGTGAACATAAAAAGGAAAAGGTATACGGAGGAAGAACTTGGTCAGCTGGTAAAGGAGAGGGTCAGCAGCCTTTACCAGATTCAGTGATGCAACAGAAAGCAGATTCCCCGCCGGAAGTTGCCTCTTTCAACCATGTGGTCCTATTTCCACCATTTTCCTCAGAGGCTGAAAACTGGCCATCAGTCCGAACACATCCCCTATGTTCGCAACTGCCTGACGTGCAGGCTATTCTACTGCTGGCTTAAGAGCGCCCACTTTCAGGACGGGCAGAGATCTTCATCTCTGGGTTCCAGATACCAAACCTCCCTCTTCCAAATCGGAGGGGCAGGAAGAAAGACTGGAGGAGGACAGGAACGTGCCACATCATCCCGCTTCACTGTGCTGCTTGCTTAGAAGGAAAAGCTCCCCACCCCCGCTAACAGGAAGCATTCAAAGCACTTAAGCTCACTTACCTTGGTCATGCCTCCTGCCTGCGCCGTGTTCAGTCCGGCGTGACTGGCCATTTGCGGTGAAACCTGTGTTAACGTCTCGGCCAGCACACTGCTTGTGGCCCCCTGCATGGCTGGAGCAGGGTACGGCATCCCAGCTCCCCTTCCTCTGCCAGCGGCCCCAAGAGAACCATTCATGACTTGCGCCTGTCCTTGCTGGGCCTGGTTCATTAAACTATGGCCAGAGTTACTATTGAGGAGGCCTGGGTGGGTCTGGTTAAAGTTAGCATTCATGCAGATCCCAGGTCCCGTCTGCGATGTGGCAGGGCTGCTGGTCACCAGCCCCACCTGCTTTTGTGCTTGCGGATTCAGTGCTTGCGAAGCAGGGGGAGTGGGCCCAGAGGTGCTGGCTGCCTGTTTGGGCAGGCTGGGGGCTGAAGAATCTCCCTGGTTCAGAGGGCTCTTGCCCATGGCACCCAAGCTGGCCATGTTTGCACTGTTCGGCTGCCCCTGAGCCTGGCCGCCAAGGCCTTGCTGCACGGGGCTGCTGGCGCTAACATTTCCTATTCCTGGGTTGATACTAGAGCCGCTGCCTCCACGCAGTAGCTCCGACAGTTGTTTATGTTTGGAAGCAGCATCTGGAACGAGGTTCCCACTGTTTAAAAGGCTTAATTCTCCTCCATTGGGGATCAGCTCATCAGGAAGATCATTTTCCAAGTCAAACAATGATCCAAAATCTAGAAATTAAACAGAAATGGAAATGAGAAACTAAGCAACCACAACAGCTTTCCAACTGTCATACGTTACACTATGATCTTAACCTAAAGGAGCACTTCACACAGAATGCTAGCATCTTTTTTAAAGTGTTTTTTTTTAATTTTAATTTTTTTTTAAAAGATGTGATTTATTTGAAAGAGAGAGAGCACAAGCAGGGGGAGCTACAGGGGGAGAGGGAGAAGTAGGCTCCCCGCTGAGCAGGGAGCCCAATGCGGGGCTCGATCCCAGGACCCTGAGATCATGACCTGAGCCGAAGGCAGACACTTAACCAACTGAGCCACCCAGGACCCCCAGAACGCCAGCACATCTTAAGAGTAATGTCAAAATGACTTGAAACTTCATTTGGGAAAATAAAACAAGGAAGCATATTTTTCAAATTCTGAAGAAGGAAAAGTTAAACAGAGATGAGGAGGGTCAGCCCCACTAGATGTTACCATATATTCTAAAACAATAATTAAATCGTGTGGCTTGAGGAGAATGTAGATATATAAACCAAAGGAAATCAACGGGGAGTTAAACCTTCACTGAACTTAAGTTAAAATGCTTTTAAGAATACATGTGTGTGAAAAAGTAACTGGGAATCAGGTTAAATGAACAGCAATTTGGGGAAATTAAGTAAAGCCTAACCTTAAGTGATTACGTATTTTTTAAAAAGTAAATTATTAAAAAAAAAAAACCCACCCCAGCCTAAACAGAAAATGAGAGTTCTCCAAATGTTGAAGCTGCAGAAAATAAAGATGTATAAAGAAACTAAAAATAGTTAAAAATAAAAGAAAATAACTTAACAGCTACTTGTCTCACATGAAAGGGGCTAACGTCAGCCCTGCAGAAGGACTCGCGGCACACTGACTCCCGAATATAAACACACAAAGGAGGCCAGCAGGTAAGTATCAAAAAGGAAGATAAAAGTCAACGGAAGAGATCATCCTACCCAGTAATCAATGACAAGTAAAGCAACTTCTTCCTCCTGGTCCCTCTCAAAGTACCATTTCTCTAACATGTGGCCTAAGTGTCATCTCTAGTCCCTCACCGACCACTTTTTCTTCAACCCACAACCACCTGGCCACACGTGCATGCACAAAGGACAAGATCAGCAGAACTATGACAAGAGTGGCATCATGTGTGATATCGAAACAGGGGCAAACAATACACGGAGGCAGGTCAGCCTAGTGGTTAGTCTCTAGGGTCTAGAGACTAGACCCAGACTGCCTGCAACTGAACCCAGCTCTGCCTCCAGCTCCCTACTTCTTAGCTCTAAATTACCTAGACTTTCTGTGCCTCAGGGTCCTCCATCTGGCCACCACACCTCATAGGGTTTCGTGGGGACTGAATGAATTAATAAATGTAAAGCACTTCAACAGTGCCTGTGGGTGGTTAAGTGCACCGTCATTATCAGCTGTTATTATTACTTTTATCCAGTAACAGAAGATTTGATAAATTACTGTATAATATTAGAAAACATTACACATCTTTGGCACCTGGGTGGCTCAGTTAGTTGAGTGTCCAACTCTTGATTTTGGCTCAGGTCATGATCTCAGGGTTGCGAGATCGAGCCCCATGTCAGCCTCCGTGCTCAGCATGGGGTCTGCTTAAGACTCTCTATCCCTCTCCCTCTGCCCCTCCCCCATTCACTATCTAAAATAAATAAAATCTTTTAAAAATTACACCTCTACTAAATTATGAAGACTGTAAAAATGTAGGAAAATGTGTATGTGATGTAAAAACATGCAATTGGCATTGCATGCAAAACGGCACATCAATTAGAACTGAAGTGTGTGCATGTGGGCAGTGGCTGGCAAGTAACATGCCAAAAATAAAGAATCGTACTGGTAGAAGTGGTGGGGTGATGAGTGCATGTGGCTTTTTGTTGTTGTTTCAAACACAGCCACCCACCCCCCACCACCCCCTTTGAGAAAACTGAACTGTCTTCTCCGCGGTGTCAGACCCTAAGACTGCCTGCCCCACAACCCCCTCAGGTAGCTGCTCTGCGGTTCCTCTAAGAAACAGCAACACCTTCCCAGCCGCAGGAGTAGGACTGATTGGAGAAGCCACCACCCCCATAAGCACCTTCTCCTTGCAGGTGACACAATCCCAGCTAAGGGAGTTGAAGGCAAGCTGGCCATGACAGTGTAGAAAAGGTTTTCCTACCTACTGGGAAGGAATGCTCAGGAAGAAATCTCCCTTTCCTTCACCACATTTCATCGTGGAGCTACGGCAGCCATCCTCAGACAGGAGACGAGGCATCTCGCACACACCAGGGATGACTGTAGCAAAAAACTAACGCTGGGGTCGTGAAGCCAACTCTGAGCTCAGTTATCCAACCCTCTGGAGCCTCCCTACCTTCAGATTTCTCATTATGGGAGAAAATGCATTTCCTGTCATTTAAGCCATTCTAGCCAAAGTTTAATGTCACCCAATGAAGTTCAAACTCCTTTGTAAGGCATACAAGGCCATCAGAATGTGGCCCCTGACCACTTCTCAACCCTTGTTCCTCTGGCATCTTTTTTTTTTTTTTTTAAGATTTTATTTATTTGACAGAGAGATAGCAAGAGCAGGAACACAAGCAAGGGGAGTGGGAGAGGGAGAAGCAGGCTTCCCGCGGAGCAGGGAGCCCGATGTGGGGCTCGATCTCAGGACCCTGGGATCATGACCTGAGCCGAAGGCAGACGCTTAACGACTGAGCCACCCAGGTGCCCCTCCCCTGGCACCTTCTGATGCACCCTACCTTCCAGCCACAAGAGTGAGCTGTCACGTGCAACAGAAATCCTTCTTCTGGATGTTCTCTGTCTAGAAAACCATACCCTTACCTCTCACTCAGATTAAACGCAGTGACTACGAAGACTGTCTTCGGGCTACCCCAGAACAGACCAGTCCCTCTTTTCAGCCTCCAAAGTTCTCTGTACATACATGCCTAGTAAACCACCTCTAACATATACCTATTCCATCCTACCCAACTATAATTAGGGATTACTTGCAACTGTACGTACACACACACACACACAGATTTTTATTGAACGTGTGAGAGTAAGCTGCACACAGCATGAGTCTTTCCTCCCAAGTATTTGACCATGCATCTCCCAAGAACACCCTTGTACAAAACCACGGCACATTTATCAAATTTGGTAAATTTAACACTGATACAATACTCAAATTTAGCCAGCTGTCTCAATAATGCCCTTTATTACATTTATTTTCCTGGTCTAAAATCCAGTTCAGGACCCCAGCGCACCTAGCTGTCATGTCTCGGTCTTTTCCTTTTGTCTAGAAAGGTTCCTCAGACTTGTTCTTTCCTAACTGTGACATTTTTGAAGAGGACAGGCCAGTTGTTTTGTAGAGTGTCTCTCAATTTGGGGTCGCTTCCTCCTGATTACAGGACACGTAATTATGAAGAGACACAGTAGTCAACTCCTGGATACGGCAGACAGCTGAGACACAGCCACGGATCAGGGTTTTTGCTGCCAACTACCCAGCTTCTGCATCTCAACGTGGTTTTGTGCGTTCCATTCCATAGCTTCTGTGGCACTGTGCTGTCCTGAATCTCGAGATCCACTAAGGTCTCCAGATAAAAAGAACACATTGCGGGCGGGGGCAGGAAGAACACACGAAATAAAGTAAAAAAACCAACTCTCCAACATAACTGATGTTTCTGTTATCTTCCAGACTCTGTCCACACACATGCACATTTTTACTCAGTATCCTTTCTTTTTAAAAAGGTTTTAAGTCATCTCTACACCCAACATGGGGCTCGAACTCACGACCCCAAGATCAAGAGTCGCATGCTCTACCAGCTGAGCCAGCCAGGCGCCCCTACTCAGTATTCTTATAACGAAACAAAACCCCGGTGTGTGCATTTAATTAACGCAATGCTCCTTAATCTATGAACATGAAAATGAAACTTCATCTAAACCAGCAACAGGACCCATTAAGACAGAGACCAAGTTTCCTTTCTATTTGCCAGGGAGGGGATGAAGAGTCAGTGTCAAGCGCTGTAAATCGTTAGAAGGAAATGAACTCCAAATATTTAAAGTTTGGAACAACCTGCCAAAGCCCCGACTGGCTCTTCCCAGCGTCTCGAAGCCCTCTCCCGAAAAGAGGGCGGCTGGGCCAGGACAAGAGCAGGTAAACCCAAATGAACAGTTACACAGTTTCAGAGTCCAGGTCCCTGATTCCAGTGTGGGAACTGGAACTGAGGAAGGAAAAGGCACACCTGCAACTGGAACACACGCATTCAAATCCAGGCTCAATCAGCTAGCCCCGCGTCCTTGAACAAACCGTTCAACCTCTGGATCACACTTCCCCCAACCGCGAAACAGGGACAATAGCCCAGCTACACGATGAAAGCTGGAACAGGCTATTGTACTCTATTCTTGCACACAAACTGTAAAATTTCTTACCTTTAAAAATCCACCCACCATATTAAAGAGGGCACGTTCTGCATGGAGCACCAGGTGTTATGCACAAACAATGAAACATGGAACACTACATCAAAAACTAATGATGTAATGTATGGTGATTAACATAACAATAAAAAATTTAAAGAAAAAAAAATCCACCCACCATTCCACCACTCTCAAATTTACCAGTGTGGTTTTTCTTAGTGGTTTACTGGAGCTCCACTCCACACGCACATGCGACTCTGACAGCTGTCATGGGCGGTATGTTTTGGGCTCAGTTTGGTTTGTGCTGCTCCGCCACACTTTGGCCACCTCGACCACTTTTCTTACCCTGTTTCAGTCCAAACACATCTCACAGCTGTTTGGTTGTGGAAAGAACGGACTAATTCTGCTTACGTCCTTACCTACCAGTCCAACCACGTGTGCACATGTCCACAAGCAAATCCACAGGGAGCGTCTTTGTAAGACAAGGTAGGCTGCGCAGGGTGTGTGGAGGGCCATCCCCGCTCACAGTGCCACCCCTCTTCTCCCTGTGACTGTCTCCACGCACATATTCTCTGGCTCAC